TTTTTTTTTTCTTTTTTTTCGAGGCAAGGTATCTCTTTCTCGCGATTGTTCTAATATAAATTCGACATTTTTTTCCATCCTCAAAGAAGTATATACGTAGAGCGAGTGAAAAAAGTTTTCCTTCGGCGAAAACAGACGATACATTGGCAAAATCTGTTCCCGTAAATAGTTCACTATACGCAAAAAGTAATTTGCGCAGTATGTAGCAATTTCCAACAACAATCGTTAGACGGAATAAATGAACAGATTACGGAGCGATTAGACGATTGTATAAGAGGCGTTTTTTCTCTCTCTCTCTCTCTCTCTCCCATTAGACAGAATTTTTAGCATAAGGGGACACGCTCATTCATATGAAACGATTTGTTGCTTCAACGGAATTGTGTCAACGTCGCAATTAGATACCGTTAGTGTTACTACACTGCCTCCTCATGATCGAAGAGTTACGTTCGATCGATCGCATTCAGCAATATCGTGCACGACCAGCGTGATAATATGTACTACGATCGAAGACTATATAACGTGTACATATATTTTGTTCTCGATCGAATAAATCAATGGCCATTAGATGACAATTACAATTACAAGGCGACAAGTATTAAGTAATTTTTTTCTTTTTTTTCCTTTTCAAACGACCCAAGGCGATGATAAATTGCAATTAATTTTTAATCGTACGATCTTTCGAAAAACGATATCCTATACGTAGACGCGTCGTTAACAAACGGCAGATTTTTTTTTCGTGAATTTTTATTTCTGTAAAAACAGTGAATTTGCTTCGCCTATTAAGTACGTGATATGCGTGGCAAGGTACTGCATTTTAGATATCGTGTAATCTATCGTTCTTATATCTTCAAATTCCTCGTAGAAACCTATATGATTATGAAATTCTTGCTGCAATATTGAAACGTCGAAGACGGTAATCGTGAGAGATCATAAATACGGATGAACGATCAGGGATCTTTTAGAACTAATACCTGACGTTAGCCGAATAGAACAAATCGCAAGTTATTGATTAGATGAAACTTTTATTATTCAAACAATGTTTACAATCGTACAGTTTGTAAGATTTACTTCATTCAGAGAATTTCGCTTGATTTTATTGGAAATTTCTTTCTGCCACTTGGAAGGACAAACGAAGATTCGCATCGTGAATTATTGTTGTTACGGACGAGAAATTTGGCACGTGTTATATGTACTATACGTCAACGTTAATCACGATTTTAATTGTCCTTGAACAGCTTATGGGTCATCGACACACATTTCTTGCGTATATGCGCATAAACGATGAGGATGTAATAATTTCGTGGAAGTGTTGAATAATTCATTTATTTACTGAGCTCAGGGATTCGGATTGGTTTCCTAAACGATCGAACAATTTCCTAACCAATTTAATGACAAACTAATGCGCATTCCCTGCGTTTATCACTGTATTACAATTTCCATACTTTCAGTTTTGATGCACGCATTACAAAAAACAGTTTTAGCCACTCGTTACAATTGAAATGTTCTCCTGACTCGAGTTCAGGCAAAATAAAAGTGAACTTCATTCACTGAAACTTCTTCTCGAACGTTGAAAGATAGAGAACACGAAGACGAGTACGAGGAACTCGTGACGACACTCGTCGTGTTTTTTAATGTATTTTTTCTTTCTTTTTTTGCAGGGCAGTAGTTGTAAGATTTATCACGTTGTCACATTAGTTTTATCTCGAGCGTGTCACCGTCGATTTTTATACAATTGCGTCATTCATTTCTTTGAGAGCTGATTGTTAATTACTCGCGCGAGCGGAGTTAACAGATTAATTAATAAACGAAGTTGATCAGCTCTTGAAGGAAGCTCAAACATAGAAGGATTATATTATCGATCTCGATGTTAAGAACGTCAACGAGAGCAA